ATTTAACTGGCTTCTTTGTCGGTTGTGGGACCTTCTACCATCAGACGAAACACTGGAGTCTTAAAAATAGAAAGATAATTGAATTTTTTACAAGGTTTTACAGTAATTTTATGTGTTTTACAATTGTAATCTCACCTGTAAAACGTTAACCTTTTGAGTCTCTGTGAAGACGGTCCAAGTCACGACTTCCTCGCACCCTGGCGTAGTAAAGGAGCCGAAATATCTAACGTAAGACCCTCTATTTTTTGGAAAAAGTCGAAATAATGGGAAACCGAAATGTATCGTTTCGTTAGAGTAAGAATTCCTTACTGCACTCATGGCAATTGTTATCTTATCCAATAAAGGATTGGGTCTACTAGATGCCTAATTAAGTAAATCAATATTACTTAAGAAATGAAATATAACGTATAAATTTTTATATATTTTTAATAGAAATTTACTCTATAAAAAACTGACAAAGCTGCAAAACCATCCCTCATCTGTAATGCCTGAGATTCGCTCGAGTATTTCTCGTTCATGTGAAGGCACTGCAACTGTAACGTTCATAAAAATCAGTTGTTATGATAAGGATAATGAACTTAACCTAATAAAATCCTTAAAATTAGCGTGTACTTCACCTCTAGAGCAAATTGTTTCTCGTTTAAGGTGTGTTCCGTTCCTTGAATATCAGTTAATCCCCAATGGAAGTGGCATTGTCTGAGTCTATACGTTCCACCGAGTCCTCCGTCCCTGATGGCTATGTAAGCATTTGCTGGTGGAATTAATTTAACTGCGAGGATTTTATTGGTAAAAAAAAAGGTGTTAGAAAAGATCAAAAATTAAAAGAAATTAAGCCGGAAACAGCTAAACCTGTATGCCCATTGTTTTCTAAGGTGACACCTCTCAGTACCGAATTATATCCTATAAACGTTATGGGACCCAAATTACGATTGACCACCACTCGATCCATGTCTATGTTAACTGGGGATTGGTTAAAACCTCCGCATTGTTTATAAATAGCGGGCCACATTTCTGGCACTAGAATAGTCGAATATGCATATTAAATGATGATGAAAATGGTAATTACTGTATTATCCTCTATGCTATAAACCTACAAGTGTCTCCATCGTATCCCCATTCTGGATAACCTAGAAAAATGAAAACATTCTAATGTATAAATTGAATTATACTATCTAATAATGAATAAATAATTGAATATATATGATTGTATTTACTATAAAACCCCAGAAAAATAGAATAGTTATAGGTATAATTAATATAAAAATGGAGAAAATAGCTGTAATTAATTGCTACAAAAATCCATCAGCCAGTTGCTTAACTTTCCCGACAAAATTTAAAACTGCGTGCGTGGCGCCATCTGTTACGAGATTTTATTTTTAAAATCTTTTTATATTTTTAATTATTATAAAATAGAAAAAGCTTCGTTTTGAAGGTAGGAGAGAGTTTTATAACGTTAAAATCGTCGTTAAGTCCGACCCTACTCGAGGTACGACACGCGATCCCCTCTATCTCCTCACTCCCTCGACCTTTAAACACCAAAATTTAATACCATCGATACACCTAATACACAAAATACCCCCCAAAATTTTAGAAAATTTCGACAAAAAACACAGAAGTTATTAAGCTTTAAAGCCGTTAACAAAATCGTGTTCCTCCCCACACACTACCATACAAAAAAAAACCCTAAATTCTTTGCATTTCTCGACATTTTAAGGTCCCCCGAGTCCAAAACTGTAGAAATTTCGGGGGGGGGGAATTTTTTGATCCATTGTCGTACGTTACTTCCGTTATATATATAACAGAGCAGGGAAAGTAGTAATAACTATTAAACGTTAATCAAATTAATTGTGTTTATTTTTGAACGTTTAATGATGTTTCTTAACAATAAAATAAACTGTTAATCTTTATAGTTATTTGTTAAGGTGTTTAAATCATGGAGAAAGTGTCAATTTATAGTTATTTAAACTCCATTAATGGACAATAAGTAATAAATATTATTGAGTAATGAGAGAAATTTGAAGGTTTAATGATAAAACGAAAGCATCCACAGAAGGACAATTTCATTATGTTTACAATGAACTTTAAAACATAATTACGAGATCATTCAATTGTGTTATTTACAGCAATATTCGTGTTAAAAATTAATCATTATTAAACTTTTAAAAATAATATATTATAAAATTTACCTGGTTCGTGAGAATAGGTGAGAATAAATAAAGAAATAACGACGAGGAAACTAAACATGACTGCTGATTAATTCTTTCAACTTCTATATTTATGTCTGAATTTTTTAAAAAATTCAATAAAAAAATATAAAAAAAACTGTCACTACGTCATTCGTCGATAGTCGCCGGAGCGTAGTAAGTTGCTATAGCAACCGCCATTCATAAATTGAAATAGATTAATTTGTATTTTTTCTTTTATGAATGAAAGTTTCATTTTCACTTTAAAATTACGTAACAATACAGAATTATTTTTTGTATTTTATTTTTGCATTTTTTGCTTTTTATTTTTTTTTGTAAATTGATTAATTAAATTTTTTAAAAAATTAATTTCTTTTATTTACTTTTTTAATATATAAATTAATTTTTTTGTGTTTTTTTCAAGCAATATTTTATTCAATTTCAAGCAATTTCAAGCAAATTTCAAGCAATATTTATGTCGAATGTTTTTATTTAGATTTTTTTTCTCGAGAGATTTGTTTTTAAAATTTTTACATTTAAAACTTCGTTGTGTAAAACACACTTTAATTGTGTATGAATTGCATTTTTTTTGTGTAATTTTGATAGGAGTTTCGGTGTTTTACATGAAGTTTTAGACGTTTTTAGACTGAATTTTTAATTGAATTTTCTCCTCAATTCGAGTGAGTTTATTATTTAAAAAAAATTCATTAAATGCTTCAAGTTTTGTACAACAGACTTTATTTATTTATTTAAATTTTTT